TGGATTAGCTGAGATCATAATTTGTTCTCTGGATAGGCCTCTGAATTTATTCAGGTTGAGATTGCCTCATACATGTGTGTATGTGTGTATATACGGATATATATATATATATATATAAAAATCTGCTAACTGCTTGTTTCACATAATGTTTGGTGTATCAGGTGACCCATTTGCAGGATTTGATATTGTTGAAGTGGTTAGTGCAAACAGATATTTTGAGTGCAGTAGCAAAGAATTGGCTTTATGAAATTCTACAATCAGTAGTTTTCCAGTTCACACTATCTCTTGATACGTGAATCTTCCCTTATAAGAGAAAATACCATAGATGTAAATTAATCTACATTTTCATCAGCAAGATGTATAGATGTAAGATTTAGCAAATTCAGTTCTGCTTAACTCAGTTTGATTTTGGAGAAAAAACTGAACATGAAGACTGCCAAGAGAATGTTGTTTCAACACAATATGGTTTCAGTGTTTCAACAGACAAATATAAATAAAACGACTTGCTGTGGTGGAGGAAAAAACCTTTAACTGACCTGTTTCAGTAACGTGGGTACCCCAAAAGCCTTACCTGTGTTAGGGGTATGTAATTACTGGGTCAGACTTTAGGTTTATACAGCACAGGAGTTTAACAAGGGATCCAGTTTATCTTGGTATATTTCCATCATTAGATTTTTCGTTTGTTGCAATAACAAGAACCACCTGGCAAATGATGCAGACAAATCTTAACAAATATTTTAAATATAATACTGTTAAAAATGCATAGCTTTGCTTTAACTCATGCTGTATAAACATAAAAGCCAACGCTAAGACTTTCTGCCTATATAAAGGTAAACCGAGTCCACAGAAGTTGCTTGGGAATTATATACATAGTAATTTAGTCCTAAATGCTGTTGGAATACGCTGCTTCTCCCCCTGCTCCAGCTTCTGAGTGCCTATGCAAATAATTTTTGAAAAAAATCTCTGCCATTTAAAACATGAGCAAGCCTAAAACCTTTAAAAATAACTTGTATTGCTAGCAATGTCAATGCCTTCTAATACAGAAAATGAGAGCTGTCAGTACAAGGGAGATTTAAGAGGACAGTCATTTTCTTGTAAGCTGATAGAGGGATACCGAATATGTGTTCAGCCATTCTTGTCACTAGAAGAGCCAGATACGCATTGCAGGTGAATTTGATCTCAATCTGCATCTCCTTCTAAAGATCACTGGAAACAACCTCCATGTGTCTGCTGTTCTCTTCATAGTTCTCAGCCTCTGTGCTTGTGAACTGTACAGTCCATGCCAGCCTTGCTTCTGCTGAAACAGATTTCATACAGAGAACTAATAACGAGTAGTTTAGTTAAGTGCATTGATAGAGCAGGTACCAGAGATCTGCTGAAGAACTGATATCTGAAAGGAGCTTACTCTCTCTGCTTTGCTGGATGGAGAAAAACTGAGTTCTTGTCCATGTGTTTCAGTATTGTATATGCCAGGGTTTCCAAAGTCTTATTTGGCTATTCAGATACATACGTGCAGTAGCTGTTGAATAGACCAGTAGACCACAAAGGCCTGGCCTATGGAAACAGGGAGAGGGAAACGCCAAAGTCATCAACGGAAGATGAGACCTCTTATTCTTTCCTTTCAGAAGACCTGTGCCAACCGTACTTTCTGCAGCCTGTGCCTGGCAGTGTGAACGAGTAGCAGTACTTGGTTTGATACAAAATACTGCCTGCCTGCTCAGTTCTTTTAATCAATAACATATTAAATTATAGTAAAAACAGTGATGTAAATATCACAGCTGTTTGTAGATGCTCCCAGACAGCATCATCACAGAAAGGGTTATTGTCCTCTGCAGGAAACAAAAAAATTTTGCCTTTTTTGAGGATTTTGTTATCAAAATTAAAACCTTCCAAAGGCAGTTTGAGCAGTACAGGAAGAAATCCCTTGAAAGAAACTGGTCTCTGTTCTTTTACTGGTGAATTCAGTCACTTGGGGCTTATTTGCTTTGCTTGGTTTAGGATTTTTTTCATACATATTCTCCTTCAGAGCCATAGTATGGAGTTCAAAGACAACCTTAATAAATTTATTATAGTGGATTTTTTTTGAGTTCTAAATAGACAAAACCACATGGAAAATAATACTTTTATTTGTGCAGTAGGCTTTTGACTACCTTTTTTGACTAAATAATGTGTCACTAGATACAACGTAAGCACAGAATGAAGAATTGGTAGCACTTCTTATTAAATTGACTTTTTAGCTTAGAAATTTTAAAGTGGAATTCTACTCACCTATGTAACCATTAGTTTATGGGGCCATGTTAAATCCTTGATTAACATCATTAACTTAGTCTGTGGCTTCACCACAGAAAGGAAATTAATTCATTTTGAGGTGGTGCTGAATTGATAATGCTTTGAAAAAATGGTAATACTATGATTACAGAAGTGCAGAAGATATTGCAACAAATCTACAGGCTTAGAAGAAAGAATCTTAATCAACACCTCTTGGCCAAACTCAATCTCAGTGCAAAGCATCCACCAGCTCTGCCAAGATATAACGGTGTAAACTTTCTGGAAAGAACTCAGGGATAGATTGATTGGAGTTGCTAGTGAAATATTGCATTACTTCAGCATTATATGACATAAAATATATGTTTCAGTAATTCCTAAACACTTTGGACATTGCTGAAGTAGATTTAAGAGCTTTGCTGAATAGCTCTGTGATTACTCGTGTTAAAATTTAAGCATGTGGAAAAGAGTTTTGAAGATTCATGCATAATTTTCCTTAATACTACAATTGATTTCTAAGGGACTAGTTAGGGAGAAAAATTTACTCATGTTGAGTAAAGGGTGGCAGAACTCTGCCTAATACATAGAATTTTTGAAAAGACACTGTTTTTTTATAGTCTGTTCCCTTGACAATCTAAAATTGTTCCTTATAATGTTGAATGCTCTGGTTTTTAGCACTGTATTTAATTTAGTTGTAAATGACTCAAACTGTGGTGCTTCTACCACTTCCCCAGTCTATATCATAAATCTGAATGTGTATGTGTTTGCTTGGTATTGCTCAATAAAACAAATAACAACAGATCTGAAAAAGACATCAGAAAACTACTCATACTTAATTCCTGTGAATGATTGCTTATTTCACTCTTATGTTTAAGTATATAATGATTTCTGCCAAAAGAATATGTGACACAGGTTGAATTTGATTAATGAATACCATTATTTGCTGATGGCCTGAAGGATTTATCTTTATCTAAATATTTTTTCCAGAATGGGTACTTTAAAAATTAGATTAAGCACTTCTGTATAATATCTATTTCAACTCCTAGACAAATCACCCTTTTATTCAATTAACATTACTATTCCAAGCTTTACCAAGTAATTTCCCAATAATATAGTATAGACCTGTTTCACTGGCTGCAGCAATCAATTTCTGCAGGAAAATCAGCTGAAAAAAAAGAAGGAAAACATAAATGTGTTGACAATAATATGACACCTAAAATGAATGTGCATGTTTTTGTAAGATTGAATACTTAGATGTTCTTGAATTGTGTTTTTCTAATGAGTACCACTGGGTATTGGTCAAACTCATCATGTCTTAATTGTTGGTGTCATGAGAATGGAGTTACTCTTCCTATTTTTTATTTTCCTTTTTTCATGAATTTACAGTTCAGCAGTCTAAGCTTAGAAGGAAAACAAATACAAATTAATTTTGCCAAGTGATTCTAAAACTCATTTTAATTAGTCTCTTACACTCTACAGTTAACCTTGATTGCATTTCATATTTTAGACTTTCTTGCTTTGTATAATGAGGAATACTCCCAACTAATAATGTTAGTAAAGCAGAAGAATAAATTGATACGTTTTTCTACATTAGCAGTGCAGTTTATTTCTCCAAGCTCCTTTGATCAAAAAGTCTCGATATGTCAATTTTGCTAAATTTTGCCATCTACCTGTATGTGTAACTGATTACATTTCTTGATTTAAGGATTAAGAAGTCAATGAAAAAGTTATCTGAGCTGGAAGACAAAGTCAATCTTAGCAAAATGTTAATCCATGGATTTCATTACAGCTGAATCTGCTTACTGTATCTGACTATTAATATTTAATGCTTGAGGTATAACGGATTATGAAATTTAAACAAAAACTATCTTGGTTTATATAAATACATAGATCTTAGAGCTCCTGTAGGTAGAAAATAACTTCAGAGAGACAAGTTAATTCCCAAGTACGGAAATCTTTTTCCCAACTTAAGTCCTACCTGAATCCTTAATCTAGGATGTTTTAATATCTTATGGAGCTTTGCATTTGCACATTCCACCCTTGGAGAGCACATTAAAATCCCTAGTCCTGCTCCCTTAGAAACCAATACAAATTTTGGTCTTAGTTTTGAGGGGAACTGTATTAAGCCCATAGTAGTAGGGTAGTTTGTGTGTTATTTCTGAAGATTTTTACTCTTTATATATGGGTCTTAAGGTAAAAAATCCTGATCTAAGAGCTAGAGTCTCCTTCGTAAACGGGTAGACTCTGCAAGAGGTCCTTGGCCAATACTGGGTGGTTCAAGACAGCTGTGCAGTGTGAGTCGTGGCAGGAGAGTTGTTTTCAGACTCCTTCAGTGATCAGATCTCCCTTCTAGCGTCACACAAAAATACTGGACACAGCTAGTGCAGACAGTGGTGTTGGGTTCGCACGTCAAAAGTCTTTGCAGCTGAAATGCGCCAGGTTCTCCTGGGTGATTGGCACGTGAGTCCTATGGGGAAAACATCTGCTCCTCAAACCAAACAGGATTACCATAGAGCTGTTGGTTTCTCGACGTGTATTCCATAAAATGGAACTTGGGCAAAGTTTATGGTTTGTTACTTCGTCTGTAGTTCGCATCTTTTCTTTCCGTATTATTTAACATGTCCACCTCCATTCTTTTTTTCATTCTCAGGAGAATCCAATTTGCTTATCAAGTTCTCTTTCTCTCTCTTTTTCTCTTTTCTCTTTTTTTCCCCCTCTTTTTCCCTTTCATCCAGATGGAATGCCATTTGCTTGGTGGGTTGGCCGTGCCAATGAAAAGCATCTTTACTGGGGAGGATCTCTTCCGGGCATTCAACAGTGTGCATGTGGACTGGAAGAAAGTTGTCTGGATATGAGATATTTTTGCAACTGTGACGCAGATAGAGAAGAATGGTAATAATTTTAACGTGTATAGTAGTGTCTGTATGAGAGCTGGGGATAGAAAGTAGGGCAAGAAGTCTTAAATTTTTTCCTGATTCACAGCTCAGAAAGCTTGAATGACTTGAGTATGATCAAATGAGAATGAAAGTCAAATTAGAATCTGTCCTTTTGATTTCATCTTAAATTTCTTATTTGAACCAAAGACAAGATATCTGGCTTAAGCAGGTTGCTGGGATGGGTTGTCTTCAAAAAATATTTGTTGTTGAATGCCAAATCCAGTCATTTTATTTGTTTAAAAATTTGCATTGGTTCAATTGGAGCATTGCATGAATAAAGGCTCTAGGAGGTTGGTGCATGGGTATATATCAGAGCAGAAGATACAGGCATAGACAGAGAAATCCAGGTACAGACAGCTAAAGAACAAGAAACCTGTACTATCAAAACCACTTGTCTTTTTCTTATGAAACATTATATCTGTATGTGCCTTTACTTTCTTTTACATTGGGTCCAAAGCTTTTTAAAGTCACTGGAAAGACTTTCTTTGGCTTCTATAGGTTTTGGTTCCATCTCCATAGGAAGTTTTAGACTTGCAGCATGAACATTCAAAGCCTTCCTCGGGCTTGGACCTTTGTGGTGCCCCAATGCCTCATGAATTTGCAAAGGCCATCTTCATAACCTTCTCATATTCTCTGCAGCTTCAGAGACTCTCCAGCAGCTGAGAGCTAGTTGGTGAGCTTTCCAATTAATTCCATATTTGTGTATGGAATGCCAGATGAGTGTTGCTGAAAGTACAACTAGAAACACCGTGAAAATACATGTGAAAATTCTGCTTCACCCTCACTCCCTTTTGGACCACTCACTGATAGGAGCTGCTGCCCTTTCTCTAAAAAAAAAGAGATTTTAACCTCAAGTAGTTCAGAAATTACAAATAATGGAAGTAGACAAGAAATGTCTTGCTGTAATAGGATACTGTGTTTGAAATAGTGTCCGAATTATCCCTGTGAAACCTTCACTTAAAAGAGAATGAGTAGAAAGGAACTGTAAGGGGTCTTGAAACAAAAAATAATAATTCAGAAATGACTTGTCACTGTAAGTGTTAGGCTTTTTTGGTTGCTCAATTTCCAGACAGTGTGATTATTCGCTTGGACCCTTTATATCCCTGGGGTCACTATTCACTTTCAAAAATCATAGCTGCAAGGGGATTTCTTCAGGAAGATCTTTATGTAAATGTTCGGTTATGAATGTGATTTGTATAGATTTGTACAGAAGGGCCTGGCTGTGCATGTTAGTCTATCTTTTCTTTAATGTTTGGTTATCGGATGCACTTTGGTGAGGTTTGTACATGAGCATCAAAACCATCTGTCTTTACTGGTGCTTGGCTCTTTTCATAATCCACATTTTGCTTTTTGGTGAGCTAGTACACAAGCAGAGCAGGGTGTGTTACACTGGCAGAGCATTGGGCTTGTAGTCTGAGATTGCAGGACAATGCACCACTAGGATGTACAAACCAATACAAGGTGAAAGCTAAATGCAGTTTTATAATGTTTCGGCTAAGTCTCCTAAGGAAATGAGACCTAAGCGAGTTATGCTGTGGGTGTTTATCTCCATTTCCCCCCCATACCCAGTGATTTTGAACAAGCAGACACATTTCAAACATCTTTAGCAGAGAAGGAGAAATCTCAAAAGTATTAGAAATTATACATTCAATGAAAATTTATGCCAGGCTGAGGGGAAAAAGCCAATTAAAACCCACAAGAAGGAAGTTAAGGAAGCGTACATTTTTATTAGATTTTGGAAAACCCTCGTGGGAGAGACATGTTGGAAATCATGCTTCATTAGCTTGGCAGCTCACAGAGCTACTTGTTTCTCCTAATTTCATTATAATAACAGGATATGCATAGAAGTTTCCTCAGCTAAACTGCCTACTGTTTATTGGTTTGGGGGTTCAGGTGTTTTGTTTCTGTTTTTAATCCATTTGAAATTTGGACTTTGGTAGTATTCTAAATTGCAGGTTGCCTTTTTAAAAGCTAACACCCCCCCGACCTTTACAAAGAGTTTCTAAACATAAGAAATTTCATGCCTCTTGAAGATTGCTTTTGTGTTTCTCTGCTAGAACACTGACCCCCTGATACATAATGAGCATTTGAATCTGAAACCTGCTGAGAGCTGAACTGTGACTTTAACCTGCTATACATTATAGTGGAAGGAGCAAGACAGCAGTAGATGCATTTATTTGCCTTAGCATGAAATAAAATGGGTGCTGTAGAGTGGAAAACCAGAAAATCATTTTTGCTCCTTATAGATAAATCAGGCTGCTCACTGCAGCTTCGAGGTAGGAACTCACCAGAATAGCTGGAGCATCCTTCTGAAGTGGAGACTGGCTTAGGATTTTGCTTTGCTTTGGTTTCCAAAGACTAAGGCTTACATGCAGAAGAAGCTACTAATTTATCAGACCAGCAAAAGAAATGGAAAACAAGAGAAAACAGACCTGAAAAAAGTCCTGAGCCAGGTGTTTGGCAGCACACAATATGCACTTCTAGGCATGATGACTTTTAAATGATATCTAAGCAGACACCTGAGCCAGCTGCTATTTCTGGGCTCTTACTTGACACCAAGTTAGCCCGCCTGGAGTTATGCTGGCCAGATGAACAGGAATATAATTGGTTGCATGCTACAGGGGGAAGGCTTTTGTATTTTTCACCTTTCTTTTTAGTAAAGCATTGAAAAGTCTCTTTTTCCATCCAGCTCCTTACCATACTTCCAAACTCAGCAGTACGATGACAGCTAATTCTGTCAATGCAAAACAGTGGAACAGCTTCATGGTATTTGCTGGAGAATGGGAGGAGACCTCTGCTGAGGGAGCAGAGGCATAAGTTGTCACCCTAACCCAAGCAGGGGTCTGGAAAGGTGTTAAACATGGCTTGACTGTAGTTTATGCATGCCACCAAAAAAAGAGATTCTTGTCTGTTGAAAGCTCTTGCTAGTGGGTGGGAGCATTCATGGAAATCCAGTGGCTGCAAGCTGAAGCTAAATCTAGTTCAGAAAATGTTTTCTTTCTCTCTCTTCCCCTTCCCCAACACTGAGAATAGATAACTGTTGGGACAAGTTATGTATAGATGAGATGGATTTGCGATTGTCTTTCAAAGCTATGCCCGTCTCAAACAGAAGGTGCATTCTTGATGCAGGCATTATTGGGGAAAAGTATTAGACTGATCTAAAGAATAAAGCATTTCTGAAATACAGACAATGTTGTGTTATCTTAAGTCCATTCTAGAGATCCTCTGGATCCTTAAATACCTCTCCCATGTTGTCTTTCATCTCAAGCAAAGTTCTCTTGCCTTGGCAATGAAAGACTTGCTGCTCACTAAACCTTTCATTTACATGGGAGGAACCTCTTTCATGCCATGCTGGTGCATGACTGTCCTGAAGTCCATTTGCTACTTTGGTCTCTCTGGAATCCCTTTTCCACTTCAAATGCAAACACTTGATTGAAGCCAGTCATCAAACCAAACCTACTTCTTACTGACTGCATTCATGTGGAAACCTTGTGAATTTGGAGAACTTTACAGCTTTTTATTTTGTACAGAAAGAGCAGCATCTCTGGAAGTCATTTTGTACAGGAAGCTCAGGCACCTCAGCAGAGTCTGGTGGACAGTGTTGATTCCAACCAGTAGCTGATTGCCATCTTGTATTTCTATTCTCCAGTCTTACTATTCAAATTATAGGAGTATCCTCTTCTTTTATTTTCCCGAACAACGTTTTTCTGGGGAACTAAGCCTTTGAGTCTTCCCATTTCCAAAGTAACATGCATTTACGTCTTTACCACGCCTTTGGGGTACTGCAAGCAACAAGGAAACCACAGGAGATGAAAAGAAGGCAGGGGAGGGAAAGGGAAAGGGGATATTACTATTGTCAGACCCACTCTGGCTCCCAGAGATACATTGAGTATATCCAGCTCTGTTTGAGGAGGAGCAAGGCCACGTGGAAGCGAATGAAGTGCTCTTTGGACAAGCTATATTTGTGCAAAGCTGTGCCAGAGCCAAGATGCTAAAACTGGAAGGGCTGAGGAGAGCAGGGCAGAGAAACCCAGCTGCTGACGAGCCCAAATTTGACAGGATTTGTTTGCTCAGCCACCATCCTGCACTGAATCTGTTCCCCCAGAAGCAGGGCAGGCAACTCCACAGAGCCTGTGAGCTCATAAATAAACCCTGCCGGAGGTGACCTGGCCTGTATAGAGCTGTCTTGGATATCTGCCTTCATGACTGCATTTGTCAACAAACTAGAAAAGCTGCCTGCAGAGAGCTGACTGTAGCAGGCCCCTGAGGTGTCAGGAATCAGTTCATTACTATCATTACCAAACTCTTTCTCTGTACCTCTTCTCTAATTCAGCAAAATATAGCCACTGCATCTTGCCTTCAACTAGCAGGTATGTCCCCTTCTGCTGTTGTTTTTTTTATTTATTCTGACTCTATGTTATTGTACCCAGTAAAGTGTTTTTGGATGCAGCTGGTGGGTAAGATAGCAATTAAAATGTATTCCTTTGGATTATTAATGTTATGTCCTGTGCAGGGCTCAAAACTTTTTCTGATAGAAGACTGTTTCACTGGCCTGTTCCTCATGCAGTTCGTTGACATCTGATGATGATAGTATTCTTTTCCCCAAACGTACTGTATTCATGAAAATCTGGACTGAATATCTGAGCAACTGAGGCTCAGACCCCACCAGATTTTTCATTAATGTACAAGAAGAAAACATACCAATAGGGGGTCATACAAGAAGAAATTATATTTAATGGCACCACTGCTCTACCATCTGTTAGAAAAAATATGGAAACAGCTACCTAGAGATTACCAGTTTATGGTGGCTTACACTGTTAGGATACCAAAGAGTGAGATTTTTTTGAACATGCTTTTATTGGTAGCCAGGAAGAAGAAAATTTGTCTCATAATGTTACTATCAAAATAGTTATTTGTCATTTGCAGGTAAGACTACCTGTGCTACATCTTGAATTATCCAGCTGCTGCACTATCACCTTTAGCATTGCTGCACTTGTAGGGAAATTTTTTTTCTTTTTTTCCTTCGGCCCCTCCCCCCATACACAGAGCATTTGTTTGATGTGTAACATGCCTCATAGCTTATTGAGGAAGTCCTTTGAGTAGATAGACATTAATCTTCAGACATGGATAAATAGATAACATCCAACTGTATTTAATACCCATAACTAAAAATATTTCAGTGATTTAATTTAAAGGGCATTATTGGATTTGTTTTGTTTTTGCTTGTGGGAAGTACAAACTGATACTACCCTTTATGCAAAGAGCTCAGAGAAACATATGTTTGTTGAGGGTGCTTTCCACCCTCTGAAAAACATTCAGATTTTCACCTGAATTTGTGCCAAACTGAGTGCCAAGTCAGGTAAGCAGAAGGTCTACTTCCCAAGTTTATTCATTTATTTGTAGCATTTTCTGCGTGTACAGGACTCCTTTCAGGAAAAGGATAAAACCTGCTTTGATTTTTCTGAAATCAGTACTTAACTTACATTCCTAGCCAAGGTGCATCACCCCCCAGGACCCTCCTGCAGTCAGGACCACCCGTAGTTCTCAATGCTGAGAAGCAGGGCATAGCATGGTACGAAAGGCATGCTCAGTGGAAGTGGTCACGGAGTGATATGTGAAACCCACTAAGAGAAATAAAGTAGTGCTTTTGGCTAACACGAGAAGTAGCTGTGGAAAACCAAATACAATCTGGTTTTAAAAGTATGTGAACTGCTAAATTAAAATACATATAAGTAAAAACTAGTTCTGGGAACAAATACAAAAATATTGACTCTAACAAGGTTTTATTTTAGTTTAAAAGACAAAATCATGTATGTGCACAACATAGTGCAGATGCTTTCCATCAGAAAACAGCGCTTTTTATTTGAAAACTGTAGTACATTAAAAGTGATCCCCAAGCCCCCTTCAGGCAAAATTCCAAATGTTTTGTCCAAACCCTGGAATATTTGTATTTTGCAGTGCCACAGCAGCGCCTCCAGGAAATTATTGTACAGGTACATGAAGCTCTTTTGCTCCTGTCTGAGGCATAATACACCATATTTAAGGGGCTGCCATGGTGTACCATGTAAAGAGAAGAGGAATCGTGATGTGTTATAAGAAATGGAGTCTGAAATAAGTTCAACTTAAAGAATACCAGGAATTTAAGTTGCTCAAACTTTAGCTCCCATGAGGGTCTGCATAATGTCTTCAAATCTCTTTTCTGCTTTTCTTAGCTGAAACATCCTAGGTGTTGACTTTTCACCAAAATCATGAATTCCCACCATGAAATAATAATAATAAACTGCAAGAATAGGTACGTTGTTCCTGTCATTAACACATTCTCTAAAGTGCAGAACGTTTTTCTGATAGGTTTTATTTCAGTGTCTGCTTGTATGAGAATACATATCCTTACACAAGTCCTTTTTTTTCCATGTGTGAGAGAATAAAATGCATAAAATGTGCTGTTTGAGCTTCAAGAGAAACTTGATTGAGTTTTCAAGGCATTAACATAAAAGTGAAGATTTTTATTAGTTCTAGAATATTTTTCTTTCTCAAAGTTGAGCTATGCTACTAAAGTTCTCTGTGACACTGGCATATAACTAGTAAAAACTCAGAATCATAAAATTCGATATAAAAGAACTTCATGCAATATAACAGAATATCTAATAAGCAATGCAGTTTTCAGAGATGTGGAATAGATATCTTTAAAATGTCACCATTTCATTTTTTTTGCAGATATCTTCACTGGTAGCTGTAGGAAGATACTGATTTTTATTTTAATGCTGATCATAGCTAGTCAAAAGACTGCACTATTTTTTGAATAAAAATAAATTTGCAGGAAACCTCCCTAAATATTTTGTGATTTTTTTTTAATTTCATTTTTTAAAAAGTAAATGCCAGCTTAGTTATTCATGGATATATTACATATTTTATATCCTCTTCCTGTGCATCTTTCTGCTTTTCTTGCATTCATTCTGCCTGCTCTTCTTCCTCCCATCCACTGAAACACCTTATTTAATTATCTTCCTAAGAAATACTCAAATAGTTCAGCTGTTGTTACAACTGTTCCATAATCTGTTGAGAGCATTTACACTAACATTCAAAGATTGATACAATAAGCTAGATGAGTATGCTGCTGAGAGACCTCTGTGAAGAGATTTGGAGACCATGTATTTTTGATTCATACATGGTATTTTTCCTTCTGAGTCTGTATTGAAGGCATCACTCTGCCTCGTGCCTGGGAATTTCATCTTGCTGCACTTTGTCTGTAATTATCTGCATGTCAGACACCCACTGAAGCAAGAAAAAAATGTTAGGGTCAGATAGAGTACCTCTCCTTTTCCCCTTGGGATTATGAGACAATTAACTGTGCTGCATGCAATTAGAAACAATGAAAAATAAATGAAATGTATGCAGCCTTTATAAAAAAGATCAAAATATCCCTTCTATTTTTTCTAACATTAATCAGAGTAGAGCATTTAGCCAAGCAAACATCTGAGGTTGTGTGTCAGAGCACAGCCACGGTGTTCATCCTGATTATTATTTCTTCGCTGAACTCCTGTGTCCCTTCCCACAGCTGGAACTATAATGAGAGGTAATTTTGTGGAAGGTGGCATTACGAGCAGCATGTAGGTAGTCTGGGATCCTGCCTGGGACGTCGGACTGCTTGGCAGTTGCATCGCTCAAAAAGTGATACCTTTTTCCTGAGGCTTTGTGTCATACCTGCCTGAAAGAGCAGTGGGTGTAAATTTAGGTTTATTGGCATTTTGGATCCGGTCATTGTTGCCATCCCCATGCGCAGCATGCAGTCTTTCACCTCTGAGCATACAGGTGAGTTGAGTCCAGACCCTGCATGCAGGTTGCTGGGCCATGGAGAGGTAGGGAGCCTTTTCTCCAAAACGACAGATTCAGCTCCGTGAAGGGTGCTCTGCCAGGCTTATGTGCCCAGATGCACAGCAGACCTCAACCCTGAGAAAAGGAGCTAGGGGAAAAAAACCTCATCACTGTGGAGACAAGATACGGTAGCGCTCGCCTCTCTATAGTCAATCGATAGAGAAATACCTCAAGAGGGCAGTTTGGCTCTCGTAAGGTCAGGGTTGGATGCCTGAGGGACTCAGTTCAGTTCATGAAGTACAGCGGGATGAACGCACATCTGTATACTCTGCCAGAGTCAAAGCCACTGAATCAGCTTAGGGACCCCAGGGCTGCCATGAAACGCTGTGCTGCATTTTGAGGACAACAATTTGCCCAGCACACTCAGAGTAAAAACAAAGAAATGATCCTTTAGGAATCTTTCTCTCTTTTTTTCTTCCTTTCTAACAACTGTGTGTAAGTTAGTCACAGCTGAAGAATAAGCCCAGCTGATGCAAACAAGAGACTGTAGTTCGACAATGCAGTAAATCAGCCTTCAGTATTTCAGTTGCTGAACCAAAATTTCCACAGGCACGTAATGCAAAAAGGCTGATTCAGTCCAAATTCACTCTGCCCGTCCAACCGTCTTCGCGGTGTGCTGAGTCAGTTGTGTACCAGCCATCTTGAAGCTGGATTAGGTATTGTCTGGCTGCCCCGTGCTAACAGCATGCTGGATCAGGTATCGCGTGTCCTCTTGCTGCTCGGATAAAGCATAAAGCCAGCAAAAATGCCATTATCTGTCTCCAGCTAACTTAACAGAAATGCAAGCTTGGACTTATACCTGATCCACATCAAATTCATCCTGCTAAGGATACTGAGCACAGCCCGGTTTACATTAATGCACGTCAGGCAGAATGGCAGCACTGCCTCAGCTTCGCAATCGTTCTGCACAGCAGAAACAGTCACCATCCTTAGCAGACAGTATCACGTATCCAGCTACAGTGTCTTCAGTGGTCAGTATTATGTATGAGCATAAAGCATACATGCACACGTACGTATCTTAAGCAGTGCGTACTGGTCGCAATTCTTCTAGGTAATTCTGCGAAAGACCTTTCATCTTTAAGTAAGCATCTTTCAAATATTGCTTTGCAGAAGGAATGCTGGGGATTTTGTCTGTGGTTAATCTGTCTCTTTCTGTTTGTTTATTATAATCCAGGACAAATGATACCGGCCTTCTTGCTTTCAAAGACCATTTGCCTGTAACTCAGATAGTGATCACTGACACAAACAGATCAAATTCTGAGGCTGCTTGGAAAATCGGCCCTTTGCGTTGCTATGGAGACAGTAAGTACTAGCTCTTCTCAATTTCCATAGGTACAGAATGTTCCCTCTTTCGTTTTGTTGTGTTTTGTTGGTTTTTTGGTTTTTTAAATATATTTATCTGAGGAAAGGTGACTTCACACGTGCAGCTCGCAGCTGCTGTCCTGTGCAAATTAACTATAGAGAAGGGGGTTGTGTTTGCAGGGCAGTTCTGGAACGCCGCTTCCTTCAACACGGAGGCCGCCTACCTGCACTTCCCCACCTTCCATGCTGAGGTCAGCGCAGACATCTCCTTCTTCTTCAAAACTACTGCCATCTCCGGGGTGTTCTTGGAAAACCTTGGGATTAAAGACTTCATACGAGTTGAAATAAGCTGTAAGTTTCACTGCTGAGAAATCTAGGTGTATTTGCCCAAGTTGACATGTGCAGGGAAGTGGGACGGACAGTTTTTCTTCTGTCTTGAGGCAGTTGGAGGTGCCTGAAGAGGATAAGATAGAGACATAAGGACTCATTAATCTAGACTTATCTTCCTCTCCTGTCAGAGTTTCCCTGTATAGCCTTGGTCATTATACTTAATCTTGTTATGGCTAGGTTTATCTTTCTTAGACAGGTGACTGAGTTTACTTTTTCAACACTTTTTTGTTTTTGCTCTTTAGAGAAAAAGCTGCTGGTTAGATGTACCTGTAGACCTGTAATTTAAGTTGAAAATTGAAAAATTTAATACAATCGCTCTGATGGTTACTTTTATTTCTGTATCAGCAACATATCCAGTCTGATAGAGCCCTAGTGTTTCAGAGGAACTCAGTGCATATGGTACAGCAAGAGGTGAGAGTCTATGAAGGGCAGGATGCTAATGCAAGATAAGTCAGTCACAGTTGTAATGGGCCTTGAATACTTCAAAATGTAGTAAGTGACTGCAGTATAACTGCTACTCAGTATATAAAGGAGAGTAGCAAGGAACTTAATTAGTGAGGTTTTGTCTCACTCCTGTTCTGATGACTTCGAATATTTATTAGTGACAAAAGATTAATGTGGCTTTGACATGAAATATGACTTCTGTATTCCAAGTTCTGTCAAGCTTAGGAAAAACAAACTGAGTGTTATGCATTTGATAATATGCTTATAATAACCCCAACATAAAATTTAATAAAACAGGGCCCCAAGGCCCTTCGATTCATTAAACCAATGGTAAATGTCATGGTGCATTATCACAAGGTAATGAGGTATGATTTAGTGTTAATTGCACATCAAAGTCCAATTTGCTTGTACTTCAGTGTACTGCATTTCATTCTCAAGGATATAGAAGTAAAAATGGCATTTTGATATCAAATATAGCAAATACTGTAAGCGACTAAGAGGATTGTTTAGTGAAAGCTTTTGTATGTGTGTTAAATCCATGCTCCTAGAGAAATGAGTTACTTAAAAGTTTGGGGAAAGTCTTGTCTTTTAAACTCAGATTTCTCATTAGTAGTTCGATGTTGTGTTTCTTGCTGCCAGATGGAATTTGCAGCCTAAAGGCCTCGTATCAAGGAAGCTCCACAGACCAGCTGCTTCGAAGGGAATCGGCCTTTTAGCAGATGCAGGGGCTCAGAATAGATCTTTGCTATCCCCATGGAGTGTTTCCTATCTTAACTGTCTAAGAAGCAGCTTCCAAAACCAGACCTATCCAATTTGTTGGGCTTGAAGTAACAGGTTTTTATGAATTTTCAATCCACAGCCTTCTGGTTGTGGGGTCTGTTGTCCTGGTTCTTGGTCTTTCTGGTGTAGTTAGCATTTTAGGAAGAGGAAAAATAACCAGTAACAAGAACATTAAAAAGTTTTGGCCCTTTCAGGCTTCCAGCAGAGCAAGATGGACTCCTTTATGTGGCTGTTGTTTTTCAATTATCATTCTGTTTCTAGGAGCCTTACTATCTCTGGACATGTGTTAGATATGCCTCTTTAGTTTAGGATCACCAATGAACTAGTTTTGCTCATCTGTTTTTCCTTGCTTCTTGGGTCAGGCTTATTCAGGCAAACAAATGCTTGTAGGATTCTCTCCTACCATATGCAGCCAAGTTCTATAATTGTTAAGTACACACATTCTGAAAGATTTAGTCAGAAAAAGCTCCTTCATCCTTTCTCCCTTCCTAGCATTATTTGTCCAAAATCTTTTGCTACCATTGTGTGACTTTTGTAGAGCATTTGGCACTTTTACTTCAAAAAGAGAACTACTATTTCTAGAGCACTGTAATTGTTATAGCAAAAAAAAAGATGGGTACCCATGGCCAAGAATAATTACAGCAGAGATCAAACAGTGAGGCTGCAGGCTTAGATTTATGTATAAGCTGCTGTGTAGGAGATGGGAGGTAAATGATGCTGTACTATTTGCCGACATAAAAGTTAATGGACCCTATATTTATGTAAGATTTCTTGATGTCAAAACCACGATTTAATTCAAACCTTCACTTCCTCTTCACATCTGTTTATCTGTTCCAGCCCCCAAAGAGATCACGTTCTCCATAGATGTTGGGAATGGCCCCACAGAAGCCACCGTGCAGTCTCCCACACCCCTGAATGACAACCAGTGGCACTATGTCCGAGCGGAGAGGAACCTCAAGCAAACCTCTCTCCAGGTGGACAGCCTCCCCAAGAAGGTTCTGGAGGCACCTGCTGAGGGACACTTCCGCTTGCAGCTCAACAGCCAGTTATTTGTAGGTAGGGACCATTTAAGGGTTCCTGTAGATATGTACAATATTTATATGTCCATACCTTGGTAATGCTATTGTTTCACCATTGAGCTTGCATATGGTGACTTAACTCTGCTTTCTGTTCTTCCACTCCTACACAGGCAACATAAAGTAAACCCAAACTACTGCCTTTACACTCAAAGCACTAACCGTAGTTTAACCGTACTATACTAGATGGTATTTTTAGTGTCTAAGTTTGCTCGAAATTTATTTATAGCCAAAGAATTCATAGTATTTCTTCTTGTGCAGCAGTGGCTGTGTAATTTGCTGTAGGAAGTGTGATCTCTCTTTTTAGATGCAATGTAAAAGGCACAAATTTCTCATATAAGTTTCTGGGGCAAAACCTGATGACATTATGGTCTTAAAGTCTGTTCCTTCAAGCATGCCTGCCAAAACCTGTATTAGGACATAGAGTGCACGTGTGAGAGAACTGTGAACACAGTCCAAGCGAATGCAGTTATTTTGACTGACGGTGATCTTTCAGGGCGGGGGAGAAAAAAAAAAATCTCTGTTTGCATATAGTTTGTTTCCCTATCTCCCTTGCAAATGAAACCTAGATTGGGACCAGCTTGTATTTGATAATATAATCAGGGATTACAAATGGACTTCTCCCTTTTCTATATTCAAACACTGTCTTTCCGAGTAATCCGCTCAGTGATGGAGTGGGTTGTAACCTGCTTCTTATTCAGTGCCACTCAGCTAACTACTGATTCTTTCCTTAAAACAGATTCTCTTACTTAGCTGAAATGCTGTAGCAAACCTCGGTCTGTCAGTTTACCCATGTATCCATACCTTTTGATTAAAGAAGATTTGGGGGTATTTATTTGAACTTTCTATAGTGTATATGTGCAGTAATTACTTACCTGGGACAGAATACCATCATGCATCTGTACAAGCTGGGGACTGAATGGATGGGGAGCAGCTGTGCAGAAAAGGTCCCGTTGGTCTTGGTGGAGAAGTGAATCTGTACCTCATCTGAATGTAGCCATGCTTTGAGGAACAGGTTAGATGAGCTGATCTCCAGCAGTGACTTCCAACCTAAATTTTCCTCTGATTGTACTTAATTGCAGTAAACTCTAGGACATAGTTACTTTATCTCAGGCAAGAGGTGAAAAGTTGTCACTGTGCAGTAAATACATTGCATTCAGTTGTCCATCCACAATTTTACCAAACCCTGAACAAAAGGGACAGAAAACCTAATGTTTTTAGGAGTGCTTTTTCAGCCCTTAGCTCTACCACACTGAAGGCCAGAACTCTCTGTTACTTACTGAGTTTTCCCAAGAGCAGTTAGAAGAGATGGAAACCTGGGCAGCCTCCTGATTCTGACGCTGTTTGTCCCCAGGGTGCTCCAGGGAAAGGTGGCAGAAGTCCAACAATACACAGATGTGGCATAATTTGCCTCTACTGAAGGTCTTATTCCAATCTCTAACAGAAAGCAACTGATTTAATACCTCAACCATGTGGAGTGAATTTTATCTGATCTGAAAAATAAATGCATAAACAACATTGTAAGAAGGAAAGAAGCAGCAGCACATAATGTTACTCCCTACTCCCCCTATAATCCACAACTTGTTTCTGCAGCATTCTGCATACTGGCAGTGATTAAGGGGTTTCCACAATTAGTATGTGCATTCTTAATTAATAATCTATATAACAGATGTGATTTGCTATTTTAAAAATGTTCCAAATATTTTTTGATTGAATTTCCCTATTTCATTCCATTTAAACATGGAACTTTGTTTCCACACTCGAGGCAGCTAGTCATTAAGATATAACCTTTTTTTTTCTTGATTCTTCTCCAGAATCAATTCAAATATTTTGTAAATCTCATAAATAAAGCTCAATGTCAAAATTTAATTTAGTTTATTTATCTTCTGGAAGGATTTATTGATCCTTTGGGATGAAGGAACTATATTAGTATCATGTAGCATTATGATGATGATCGAATGGAGATCCACTGTAGCTTTCAAAGTACAATTATTTTCCTGTTCCTTCAGAGACATCAGCCTATATGCAGTATATGTGAAGTGGTTCTGTGTTTTTTCCTTTTAGCTAGTTATATACAGTAGATCACACATATAAAATAAATTTGGACATTTGTAAAATTTGACTACGGGGCAGTTAGCATATAACATAATTTTAAAGGAGTTCTGCTAATTTGGACCAGTTAATTCCCTGTCAACTGTTTCTGCCTGTTTTATGAATGAGTTATTTGCTTCTGTTTTGGCCAGATCTTTTCTTCTCAACCCAAAAAGCAGATATATTTGGGACTGTACGTAATAGAATAATATAGCTCTTCAATTTTTTTGTTAGTTTGTTGGTTTTTTTTAAATATTTGCCTGTCAGACAGACTTTTTACTTTCTATGATTTATAATAAAGAAAGTTGGACAGAAGTCTTCTCCAGCAATGTTAACAAAACAGTCGGTTGTAGGGAGTCGTGAAGCTGTGCTTCATTTACTTCTGATCCGGCGATACTGACACGTTGTGAGGAAGTTAATCTGCCTTTAAATACTTTGTAAGGGTGGGAGTTAAAAAGGCCTGACTTTCCTTGGAGGTTTATCTTCAGATTGACTGACTTAGGTATTTCAGAAGATTTAGGCTTTTACTGAAGATTTTCCAATGACTAAGCACAGAGCAGGATTTCTCTTTTATGTATGTAGGTTCTTTTATGTCCAGTAAGGGATGAATTCACACTTCTGTCTTCATGAGTGGAGACCTTGATGCTGTTTCTCTCTTATTTACCCTGCTACCACTTTGTCTCAAATATGGGAGAACATAATATTCTCTCTCTTAAATTTGGGCAAGGAATTAAAAAAAGACTGGATTCAGAGATAAAAATATACCATGTGTGAGCAAATATTCTCTTCCATAAGAAACCAAACCAAAAAAAACCCAAATCACAACAACTGTCTAGTCCTTTCAGATGGAGAAAACACTCATTGTGAACTAATGCAAAGCTGTGTCCTGAAGACTGTGAAAAATGTGAACTTGAGTTGTCTCAGAGGAATACTAACTGATATATAATGACAGTGAGTTCAACATTTGGATGTCATGGTTGCTTATTCCAGCAGAGAAATCCAGATGTTCAGAGACTATAGCAGAACCTGGGAGTCTCACCATGACTTACGTTGTCCCTATGCTAAATTTGAGTTGTGCATGTTCTTGAGTTTAAGCCTCTGTGGGTCATTGCTAGGGTAAAAATCAATTTTCAACTTGCTCTATGTACTTAGGTGTAACCGTGGGTGTGTTTAATGTTCTTAAAATGCATTTCTGCGGAGCATCTCTGACTGTTAGGCATCTCTTACTGGGCTTGAACTCACATTACATTACTTGGATTAACAGTACTATCTGCTAGAAAGTTTCTTCACTCACTTCTGGCCTTGATAAGCATAAAGTAGCTGTAATTCATTATCTGCACACTAATGCACCCAAAAATACTTCCATTTTGGAGGTGGTACAACATTGCAGATAGAGAAGTTCACATGAGTTTTACATACCCTAGAAAGATACACTCTCATAGTGATTTCTGTTTACCCCAAAGTCTCTTTTATACATTGATATTGTATAAAAGGAATTGACAGAGCTGAGAACCAGATCCTTCTTCCCATATGCTCATGCTATTAATTGTATTCACAGAAATGCTGGAATTTGGGTGTCACTTCTTTCTGTACCACCTGTTCTCCATTCAGTTCTGCCTTCCCACCTTTCATTGCCCTGTTCTGTGTTTGATTCAATGGTCTTGGCTGTTCTTGCATCTTGCTGATGTGATGTCTGCCCTACATATCTGCTTCTGGGGGATGTTCCCCTTGGGGGAGCAGAACCTAAGCATTTGCTCTGGCCAGCATGCCACATAGCCTGTGTAAGAAATTGTCATTGTCTGATGGTCCCAGGATTCCACTGCAGCGATGATTTCTTACACATGCTGTTCAAAATAAACCATAGAAAATGGCTACCTTCTTATTGGATCTGCCTGGAGATAAAACCAAAATGAGGGAAGTCAAAATGGAGGTGTTCAAATCTAATTCCTCTCCTTTTATCTCCTCATCCACAGCAACACAATGTGACAGGATTCAAATTTGCAATTCTTGTTTTATTCCATCGCTTCCTGTAAATACCTGACTGTATCCAATTATGGTTTCTCTCTGTTATGGAGAAACAGTTCTGTGTAGTCAGTAAGAGACAAAAGTGTAGATTAAGTGTATAAAGTTTGTATGATTAGCTGTTGTGTTAAAAGTGTAATTGACTCACAGGGTACTTAAGTTTTAATCTATGTAGTACTAGAAAGAGTTTTTCTACAGCTACACTTGTTGCAATAACTTAGAATATAACATCATCTACCGGGACTTGTGCAAAGCATTTGATACTGTCCTGCATGACATCCTTGTCTCTAAATTGGAGATACATGGTTTTGATGGATAGACCACTTGGTGGATAAGGAATTGGCTGCATGGTCGCAGTCAAAGAGTTGCTGTCAACAGTTTGATGTCCAAGTGGAGTCCAGTGACAAGTTGCCTTCCTCAGGGGTCGGTATGGGGACCGGTGCTGTTTAACATCTTTGTCGGTGACGCGGACAGTGGGTTTGAGTGCACCCTCAGCAAGTTTGCTGACAACACCAAGCTGTGTGGCATGGTCAACATGCTGGAGAGAAGGGATGCCATCCAGCGGGACCTTGACAGGCTTAAGAGGTGGGACCACGCGAACCTCATGAAGTTCAACAAAGCCAAGTCCAAGGTCCTGCACATGGGTCGGGGCAATCCCAAGCACAAATACAGGCTGGGCAGAGAATGGATTGTGAGTAGCTCTGAGGAGAAGGACTTGGGGATGTTGGTTGGCGAGAAGCTCAACATGACCCAGCAAAGTATATTTGCAGCCCAGAAAGCCAACTGTACCCTGGGCTGCATCAAAAAAAGTGTGACCAGCGTCAAGGGAGGTGATTCTCCCCCTCTACTCCACTCTCATGAGACCCCACCTGGAGCACTGCGTTCAGCTCTGGGGTCCCCAACATAAGAAGAACATGGACCTGTTGAATCGAGTCCAGAGGAGGACCACCAAGATGATCAGAGAGCTGGAGCACCTCTCCTATGAAGACAGGCTGAGACAGATGGAGTTGTTCAGCCTGGAGAAGACTCCAGGGAGACCTTATAGCATCCTTCCAGTACCTAAAGGGGACCTACAAGAAAGCTGGAGAGGGACTTTTTACAAGGGCATGTAGTGATAGGACACGGGGTAATGGCTTTAAACTGAAAGAGGGTAGATTTAGATTAGATGTAATGAAGAAGTTCTTCATTACGAGGGTGGTGAGGCACTGGAAGAGGTTGCCCAGAGACGTTGTGGATACCTCATCCCTGGAAGTGTTCAAGGCCAGGTTGGATGAGACATTGAGCAACCTGGTCTAGTGGAAGGGGTCCTTGCTCATGGCAGTGGGGGTGGGACTAGATGATCTTTAAGGTCCCTGCCAACCCAAACCATTCTATGATTCTATGATATGATTCTATGGGAATAAAGTCTGCTTAAGGCTGACATTGGCACACATGGAGTATGTGGCAGGCTTCTGACATAGCTTTCTGTGTGTGCGAAGTGGAAGGAAGAAATGACTTTTCATTGCCAATACACTCAAAATCAAACAAGCCTGGATTTTAAAGCTGGTCAAAGGAGTTGGAAAACCATTTCTCACTTTCTTGTAGTGGGTCTTGGGTATCTAACTGCTTTAGGCCGCTCTGTGCGTATTCTTGCACCTGGCTATGTTTCTTCTTTTAATTTAAAAAAATTACAGTAGAAGGAGCAAACCCCAAACAAATGTACAGGCTAGATAGTATCAACTGCACCAAACTGCCCAGCAGCAGACCAGTTTGGCACATTACTTGCTCTGAAGGGACAGACAGAAATCATTCCTTTCAACGGACAGTCACTTTCAAAATGAGTGACATCCTTTTCCATAGTGCAGTTGTCTCCTGGTATATCCCTGTGGTCCTGGAGGAGGTGTGTCATCCTCTCCTCTCATGGTGTAGTCTGAGATGAAACTCTGTCTTATCTATTGGAGAAGGCGTGACCATAACACTCCAGTATGGGGCAGGGAGGGGAAAGTCAGTCCTCACAGACCTCTTTGAGAACAGCATTTGCACTCAGACTGGTAACATCAGTGAAGCAAAATACAAATCCTAAGAAGTTAATTTGATGCATAAAGCCTTGATCAGAAGTTTTTCTGCTATTCATTTAGTATGTTGAGGAGACTACTAAAATTAAGTGCTTGGGTTACTGTTTTGTCTTGGGAGCAAGGGAGCAAGGAATCCTTGGGTAAATCTCCTCTGCTGTTGTAGACAGTCCAAATGCAACATACCCCAGAGACAGTAAACATCTGAGAAACCTTCTCGGGAGACAGAGAGAAGGAAGGAGAGAAAAAGAAGGGGCATACTTTATTTACTGTTGTTTTAAAGCAATCAGTAGACACTTTGGGATATTTTGGAGGCTGGAGGAGGAATTAATGCTTAACTCCTTGTGTATCGTGACTGCTTTGTACAACTTTCAGTTTGAGACTAAAAAGTGTGACTTGGATGTCTTCTGAGGAATATCATAGCAAGTTCTCCTACTCCTGAGTAATAATAATTATGATTCGTATACTCCCATGCCCTTTCCTTTTCTTTGTATCTGTTACATAAAGCAAGAATGCACCTAATATTTATTCACGCCGCTTCAGCCTCCCTAATCCAGTTCTTACCAACAAAAAGTCCTTTGCTTTTTAAAGCAAATCCTCAATTCATTGATAGAATGTTAATTATTTAGCCACTTGTGTCACCAAGCTATACTATGAGTGCTCAGTTGTGAGCTTCTTGCCCCCTCCTCTCAGACTCTCTCTTCCTTGCCCCAAGGCTTCTCAGTAAAATTCAGCTGCATAAATACGTTACTGAAAACAGCATGGCTCATTTGACTGTCACCTCCACTTGGCAAAGAACACCCTTAACCTTAATGTTTATGGTCCTGAGGCTTATCCTAAAATCTGTTTTCCTGAACAAAACATTTAGGTCTCATCCAACAGGCCTATTAGAGTAGGAAGAATCTGCAAAGCCTAATTTGGGGAAGAGTTTTGTTTGTTTGTTTTCAGTTTTTCTCTGCTTCACAGGAATGTACTTGAAGATTAGGTCTAGTCAATTGAAGAAAAATGCCCAAATAATAAACAGATTTGCTTAATCAATACCGTGTGGATCTAGGATCATCTAGACTGTCTCTGTTAAGCTCTATACTCTCCAGACATTAGGAGTGAGAAACTTACTTTACGTAGCTTTCCAAAGTGCTTTAGAGAGCAGTAAGAATATGGGTAGTGCAATAAACATGACATCTGTGGAATAGTTAGCAATGGTTTGTACTCATTCTTTGAATGTTACAGCTGGGATTTATATGTGTGCAGAGAGAAGAGGCAAGGAAACTGTCATTTATCCTTGTAATTTTTGTGGTTACCTCCCATGCAAATGAAAACAGAGTAACCAGTAACCTTAAACGGAGAAATCATATTTCTACTTATTTGGACGTTACTGAAAATTCTGTACAATATGTTTGGGTTTGGAGCAAAATCTCCAAAGAAAAAGATTGTGTGTGCACAGTGCAGCAAATGCAGAAGGCCCAATTCTTGTGCTCAGAGGGCCTTTAAAATATGTGAGCTAACATTTACTCACCTGAAAAGAAAAGCTGGCTACAGAGGAATTTTAAAATATTTGTTTCTCTGAGAAAGGCATCATAAAATTAGCATGAAATAAACCTGTCTCACACGTGCTATCTATAGTTCAATTATTCTAATTCAAATCCAGTATTTCTGCTATTAGTGTACCAGAAATAAAAATATGTTAGAATGGTATAGCAGAACAATAGGGTTTTGGTGAGATTCCATTTCAGACTATTGCTTCATTCTGTTAGTTTGCAGAAGTCTTGCTTTAATTCAACAATTTATGAAAAAACAGATGCTCTTCTGCAAGGACTTATCAAAAGATTTATTCTCTTATCTCATGCACTTTGATATAGAACCAACTTCTACAGAAGAATAATTTGGGAAGTTAACTTCTTTCATACTACTTTTGCAGGAGAATCACCAATAAAGCTAGCATTTCAGAGCCAACAAATGCTGATAATTCCTGAACCAGAATTAGATTTCTTTGCAGCGATCAAAATTGCAGTATCTTCAAAAGCAAAACACTGGCAACTGCCAAACAAAGCCTACAGTGAGATAAATGGTGATATTTTCACAAAGTACTCTATCATCATTATCATTTTCAAAGACCACCTCTAATAGAAAAAGTGTCTTCATTGTAACACTTTGTAATTTCATTGGGCAGACAAGAAACTAATTAGCTTGTAGAGACCGAACTGCCCTCTTGCGCAGATCCATACAGCTCTGGTCTTCAGGAATAAATGCAATTATGTTTAACAGTTGTAATAAATAACACATCTGTGACCTGGACTCATGTTTCTTGCTTACAACAACCATTCACATGCAACATCAGGTTGGGCAGTCATGCATAAATTCTGACTCAAGTCATTTCCCTTCAGCCAGCAGGCCTGGTGCTGAACATGATTCATCCCTGCTATCTGGACTCATCAGCATGTGTAACTCACCTGCTGTTTGGATTAGAGTGTTATTTATACTCTGTACTGTGGCAACAAATAGGAAAAAAAAATTTAGGTTTGGGTTTCTCATGTATTAGGTGATATGCAGACATACGATAAAGAAACTAATCTTTTTCCCAAATGAATTTGCAGTTTAAATGCCAGACAGGGCAGTAGATAAGGCAGGAAAGAGAAGAACGGCAACAAGAAAGTGTCACATATGGCTTTTTAGTTCTTTCATAAAGATAAATAGAGACCTTTAGTTTCCAGGGCTGTCCATCTGTCATCTTTTGCCACCGTATGCATTGATATATAATAGATAATAGTTTTTAAAATTCATGGATTCATATTTGTACCTCTGGATTGGACTTCAGGGTTTTGATTACTGTGCAGACTCACCAATGAATGCATGTCCTTTTTTCTCTTTTTCAGGGGGAACAGCTTCCAGACAAAAGGGCTTTTTGGGATGCATTCGATCTCTGCATTTAAATGGACAGAAACTCGACCTTGAAGAGAGAGCTAAAATGACACCTGGTGTTAAACCTGGGTGTCCAGGACATTGCAGCAGTTATGGTAACCTGTGCCATAATGGAGGGAAATGTGTGGAGAAGTATAATGGTTACTCCTGTGATTGTACCAACTCAGCCTACGAAGGACCTTTCTGCAAGGAAGGTAGGCAGCGAGCTTTGATCCTAAGTCCGTAATGGTCTCTGAATTACAGCACAGTTTCACCCATGTCAGCTTGGTGTCCCCCATGTTACAAGGTGTTCTAATATCAGCTGTCCCTTCAGCATTACCAAGTGTTTATCTGAAACAGGCTATAACGCCTCTTTTTTTTGACTTTGGTGATAGCCTCAGAAATTAAAATTGTGTTAGTCGTACTATTAAAGTTACCAACTATATCCCACTATGATTCCTGTATTCAGTTGCATGTAACTTGGCCCAGACATTAACAAATAGGGCTGAAATTTTTCATAATAGTTGTCTGTCCATGTCTGAAAGTTCAGTTTGCTTGTCTTTAAACCTCATCCAGCTTTGTACAACTTAACAAGATGTTGAGAACTTCTCTTGCAGAGTTTTGAAGCAATGGTGTGACAAAAAGTGGTAGTCTTTTTATGGGTTTTTTTGCCATTCCTGTGACAGTCTGTCCAAATGTTAAGAGATTTTAAAAATAAGCGTGAAGCATTCAGGAGAAAACTGATTTGCATGGTTCAGTCTGTGGTGAACGTGTCCTCACTGAACCTTTCTGGTGGCTCGTAGATGTTACCAACACCAGAAAAATGAGCAGGGCAAATAAAGAACATCCAATTTAGATGGCATGCTCCTTGGGAGAGGAAGAAACTAGCAAAACTACTGCTCAATAACAGCAAGGTGCAATGTGAGTGTTTTAATTTCCATGGCTGCCCCTCACCTCACAAACGCAACAGGTTTACTAAGTGGGCCGCATCTTCTGCTGGTGTAAATTGGCTTAGTTGTAATGCAGTCCACGGAACTATGCTCACTTACATGAGTTGAGGATTTGGCACCAATGCCATGAGAAGCATATCAAATAACCACATAGTGTCCTGTTAGGAGATGCTGCTGTAGAGGTGGAGCTGCTTTATTGGAGAATGTACTTGCAGTCAGTCTGTAGCTGAAAATATCACCATCCTGACTTTACTGTGCCTCACATTAGAAAAAACTGCTGTTATCACACCTGTGTATTTCATGGCCAGACTACGTTGTGTTTATTGAAAACACAAGCATGAGTTCTCGGGACCTGAGAATGCACAGGTAGATGTTTCTCTTCTTTTGGAGCTACCAAAGACAGCTTGCTATACTGGCTGACTTTGGGTCAATGTGTTTCTTTAATAATGACTTTGTTTAAAAAGGAGACTGGAAAGGACAAATACATTGTCTTTACTGTTGGGGGAAGACAGAGAATATTGCCTTACATGTCAGCTGTCAGAAGATGGTGAACCGAGCATTTATTTGGCTGACAGACATTTTGGGCTGTTCTATCTTGTAGAGCTCTGATTCCAGCACTAAAATAGTTGAGTTTAGAGGCCTGTCTCCATACACCGTCCTTCTTTGTGCGAGACAAACAGACAGTAAGGAAGGACACACTGCTCGTACAAACTAAGGGACCGTTAATGTCAGCTGAGTCAGGGGCATTTTGCAGTGTTCCGTTTCTGAGGCAGGCAGTTTATGTCCATGCCTGTCTGGGAGATCTGAAAATGCAGTAGCTGAAATTATTCCCTTGGTTTATATATGCTTTCAGAGGTTTCTGCATTATTTGAAGCTGGCACTTCCATTACCTATATTTTCCAAGAACCTTATCCTGTCACAAAAAATGCAAGCACCTCAAGCTCTGCCATTTATGCGGATGCTGTCATGTCCAAGGAAAATATTGCATTTAGCTTTCTTACGGCACATACTCCAAGCCTTCTGCTGTACATCAACACCTACTTTCATGAATATTTGGCTGTGATTCTCTCCAAGAATGGTAAGTACTCTTGATTTGATACCAAAGGGAGACCAGTGTAACTGTGTTAAGTTTTTTGTGAGAAAAATACAGAATTCTGCACTGATTTAAGTTCATTTCTGTGTCTGCAAGTTTATCAACTTCATGGTATTCAGTTCATGCAAATGGCTATCACTCTTGTTTATGTCCCTTTATTTGGCATTCAGTGCTACACTTGCCTAGTCAGTCTTTGAATAATCATGTTGTTGGGGCTTAGAATGTGCTTTGACTTTCATTTGGCAAGACTGTACAATAGCAATTCCTTGTTATTTATTCCACACTGAGATCCATTAGGCCTCCAAAATAAGGGAATGAGAAATACCATGAATGTACAAGAATACTTGGTGCAGAAATATATTATCATTTTATCATTTGCATTTTGTCTTGGCACACGTATTGCTCTTCACTGGGTTGTTTCAATGGAATACGGCCAGTATGTCTGAATATTAAAGTCAGAAAATGTCAAAGTTTTCTAGGTTCACTAACCAAAACATGAGGTGTAAATCCATTTTCTATTAAAAGGTACATGGTGTGAGGACTTTATGAAAACATGTAAAGATTTTAGGGCCTATGTCTTCTCTGGCTCCTGAGTCCTTGCAGTGCTTTCAGAAACTCACTCCAGACAAACATCATGCTAGACAAATGGGGATGTTTGAATTATTCAACAGTTATCAGGCACTGGAAGTGATGAGTAAGCGTATTGGTGAGTCACTAGCCTGTGGCAGAACAATAGAATGTTAATGCTATGTGGTTGTTGTAAATGTACATTTGACCAAATGACCCAGACCACTCTGAACCATTGCAAATTCCAAAATAGCTAAGCTTTCAAGCGCTGTCAAATGAAAACATAAGGAAAAAAAAAGGTTTTACTTTTTATATGGGATTTGCAGTAGTTTATCTCCTGGTTGTGTCATGTGGCTAGTATTCGGGCTGGCATGGGATGAATATCCAAAACTCTGGGAGGGGCAGCTGGGACAGTATCAGCCTGGACCCATCTCCCCTAAGCAAAGCCGCAGCAGGGCAGTGGGACTACTGAGGAAACACTCTCTCCTCTCTCCTTTCCCATCCAGTCCAAGATTTCCATCTCTGATTTGCTCTGGGAGGCAAGTGTTTATGATTTCCAGATATATGAAAGTTCTGGTGTGTAGCTCCAGGGTGGCAGAGGTTAGCTCTTGCTGAGATGAAACCTTGGAATCTACTTCTTAGTTACACACTCAGGTCTCTTGATGCTACTCAGGCAATTGAAAATAGCCCTAAAGTGAATGAAAATGTAGTATCCATTTAAATCACCTTTACTGCTGCCAGAGTAGTGTAAAATGACCTTAGAAACATGAGTCAGTTGACTTTTATTAATGAAATACAACCATAAGCAAGCTATAATTGTGGAATTCTGGAAGGAGGGACTCTAACGGTGGTTGGGGAAGGGGTTGCAATCAGGACCCCAGGATCTCTTGTAGCAGCTCAGCAGGAGCAGAGGTAAGCCTTGCCCAGCTGCACCATCTGCAGATCTCCGCTTTGGTTCAGATGGAGACAGGGACTCTCAGTACTTCTGGAAACTAGGTGGAGCAGCTCTCACCACACTCAGGCATTTTAAACAATGGTGCTTTTCTCAGATCTGTTCCTCTTATTTACTCACTTGTAAAATGAAGATAACAGTAGTTTAGAGGGTTGGTGAGATGTCAGGCTCCAAAACTCTGTACTATAAAATGTAGCACTATACGCAAAGAATTATTAAGATAACTAGCTGACCTTGGTTAACTGCTAAAAGTCTCTCTCAGGGTTATTCTGTGCATGCTTCTGTGTCATTCTTTCAAGACAGTCATTTCAGTCTTGTATATTCTCTGCCTTTTGTCCCAAATGTAATAATTTTTTAAATCTCATATCCTCTATTTTTTAGTCTTGTTGGAATTGAAATTATTCCAATGAAAATAATGTTCAGATATGTTACTCTTTCTTCCTCCAAGAGGTTTATGCTTGCCATAAAGTTACTGGACTATGAATAACAATGTCCTTTGTAGCATTAAAAGTGAGCGCGATTCTTTCTCTTCTTGGCTCATTTTCAAGGAATCTTGCTGAGTCTGACAGTGTATAGTAGGACCTAAGCAGGTCCCTGCTGGATAACTGATTGGTTAAATAAACGTTAGGCTCCTTGTGAAATAGGAATGGGCATTCTCACTTAAGAGTTGAGCAGTAATATTCTTTGCCATAATCCCAAGCCCCTTTCCACTTGTTAAGAAACTATGTTGAAACTGTCTATGTATACTTTAATACTTCACCTTTTGTAAGTATTTTTCAAGCTGCTGCTCATGTATCCTATTATTCCTCTTTTCTATTATCCACAAAATAACTAGGCAAATTATTAGTTAATTAAAGTGACAATGAGAAGAGAGTTTCTGTGTTAAATATTTAACATAAAAGAAGTGAAAGTGTCTGCAAGGCTTATTCATAGTTAGACTATATTAAAAGGGGCTTATGTAAAAGTGGACTTGTATAGGCAGCTATGGTCTAGTCCAGTCAGGTGTGAAATGTTTCCTGTAAAATCAGTTGTTTCAGTAAAATCAATAAATAATCACATTTAACCCCAACATACTTTGTACTGTCAGTCTGTAAAGAAGATCATATCATTAGAAGATACAGTATGTATTGATTGAGACACTAGAATTCTGGTAGTAAAATGTTTCATTTAGAGTTATCCAACAGGCCAATGTCAGGTCTGGGAAAGGAAGTGAAATCTCCTCATGCCCACTCATGGCTTCACCCATCCAGATCAATGCTGCCCACACAGAAAGCCCTTCCAGTGCTTGAAACCTTAGAGGGCAGGTGGTTCATGAAGAAGGTAAAGTTATGGCAGATGTTGGGTACCACCATACGTCAATGTAGAAGCTACAATTCTAAACCTATAGAGATGACCTCCTTCTATAAAATAAGATGCTCAGTAGTGCCTAGCAGGTAATATTTCTAAAAACAGTTCCCACCCAAAGAACTTATCTATATCACGAGGTTGTTCTTACCTCTGATCAGTCAGCTCATGTCCTGGCAGCTTATGGGTAAGTTTTCGGAAGCTGATGTTTTTAAAGATGACTTAGGGATTCTTTCCGCCATTAGTTAATACTTACACTTCTAAATCATACACGTGCCTTTGCAAATTGTATGCAATAACTTAGCATTGTCCTCTTCTCCCCAATCTTACGTATTGTAGCCATGGATTTTTAAATTAGGCATATATATAGATGTGTATGTATTGTATATAGATGGGTATGTATATGTGTATATAGGTGGGTATGTATGTAAAGCTCCCATAGTCGCATTGATCCCACATCCAAAATATTAGCAGTACTGTAATAATTGGCTGTGCCTTTTTAATATCAGTGCTGTAGAAATTTCAAATTATAGTGCCCATTACTAAGCTACAGAAAATGGGTAAACATCTCTAATTAGCCTTTTCAGTGTGTCAGTCCACAGAAGTTATTTACATCATGGGAAGCTACTGCCAAAAAAAAAAAAAAAAAGTTTTTTTTTTCCCAGGCTAAACTTTCACTGTACATTTTTGCATTTACATGATTTCACCAAGTTACCAGTACCTTAGTATTATTATCTTTGCCTTGATCCCTAAAGACAATAATTGATGGGGGAGAAAAATGTTCAGAAAGAAACTGTTAGTGCTTTCTCCATCCTTCCTTCCCCCCTGCAAGTAATCAGATGTGATATGAATATGATGAAGTATACTGTCCAGAAAATGTTTTCCCAAGTCTTTGATTCTCAGTGTTGTTGGCTTTCTCCATGGAAACAATATGATTCCTAATCTAGAAAAACAGCAGATAGAGAAAAGAGATAGAATCTCAAGCTATCCTAGAGTGATTGAAAAATTATCTGTATTTATTATCTGATCTCATAAGAAACTAACAATTCGAGTCCTTTTTTTTCTTTGTTTCTATCCAATACCTATTACCATCACAGTGAGCTCAATTCTCAATTTTTTTTTTTTTGAAAGCAAGACTCTGAAATTGCATAGGAAAAGTTAAAGACAAGGAAAAAGGCACAGTTAAAAACAAAGATATAAATGAAAACAGCTTGAATAATTCTTCTGTTAGGTCTCTGATGCTCAGAATATAGTAGCAGGACCTAGATCAACTCCACTGCCCTGTCCTATAAGGTCTTGAAATCAGCTGATATTTGAAGTAAATAGGAAAAGAAACAAAAATCTGTAATAGAGGTGAGCTGAATTAACACTCTGCAAAAAAGAAGCAACCGTCATCAGTGAGAAGCTACTGATTATTTTCTTTTTAATAAACTAGAAATCTACTGTAATCTCCTCCTGTCTCTAAGTCAGAAGCAGCCTTTCTGTTGAAGGCATGTAAATTCTCCTTATTGTTTTTGCCTTGCAAGTCTGTTGAGTTGCATCTCCAACAACTTTTCTCAAGCAAAACCAAAGTTTTTGTCATTCAGTGGTAAAGAAAGGCCAAAAACATAGTTCAGTCTTTGAGGCAAAGAGTCCTTTGATTCTGTTCATGCTGCAGGCTCTGGAGTTCAATGGAGCAAAGCTAAAATAATTAGGGAAAATAGGACTTACTGAAGCACTGGGTTTGGGGGGTGATTTTGTCGTTTCTTTTGCTTTACCACCTTGCGGGTTTTAGTTTTGGGATGTGGGTACCACAGGACATAACTAACTGCTGCAGAATGACCCTCTAGGCTATGCTATTGCTAGTGCAATTGTCTTATCTTTTGAGAACATCTTCTGGCTTACAGACTTTCAACACCCATTGAACAACCTGCACAATTTATGTGACTGAAGTGGAAAATGGTGCCAAGGTTCAGGTATAGTTATTTTTAAAAGATCAGGAGCAGGAAAGTGAGTCATGTTGTGAAGTGTGGGAGACAGCTTTGTTGAGGAGACTAGTTTTTAAGCAACTGTCTGTGAGTGACCGAGAATTGTTCCCAGTCTATCTCTGGTTCACAGCCATTAAATGATTTCATATGGCAGA